ATACTGTAATGATTTATTTTTACTTGTTTTTGTTTTACATGTGTTTAAACTGTACTCCCTTTACAGTATAAAGGACGTAGTAAAGGAGACCAGTCTTCAAATGCAGTTTTTGATACAGTAAAACTTCAGTTAGAGTTGAATATCTGTTGTGATGCCTGTTTATTTAAACTACTTTATTGATTTATTTGTAAAGTGGTACAGTATGTAGTGGAAAAGCATACTGTCAAGGGAATTCATACCAGGCTTAGTGACCAGCAGAATTAGCCAGGAAGTAGTTTACCGATGATGGGCTGTGGGACCTTACACTTGACCCTGTCTCACTCAGTTTTTGTTTTTGTTTTTAAGAAGATTAGCCCTGAGCTAACATCTGCTGCCAATCCTCCTCTTTTTTCCGAGGAAGACTGGCCCTGAGCTAACATCCATGCCCATCTTCCTCTACTTTATATGTGGGATGCCTGCCACAGCATGGCTTGCCAAGCGGTGCCATGTCCGCACCCCAGATCCAAACCAGCGAACCCCGGGCCGCTGAAGCGGAACATGCGAACTTAACTGCTGCACCACCAGGCAGGCCCCCTCACTCAGTTTTAACGTGTATAATTAAATCCTGAGGACATAAAGCTGGTCCTAAGGTGATGCTCAGATGAATTAAATAATCAAAATCCCAGAACTTACTGACAAGGTAGATTTAAGTTAATGATTTTACAATTAAAATGTGACATAAAACAAAGTCCTAGTCTTAAATATGATAATAATAACAATATTAATAACTGCTCTAACATAAAAAGAAAGAGATATGACCTGGTAGCAGCATATATTTTTATAAGACTTTTGGATAATAATTTATCTAAGATCTGCTTGAGTTATCTATGAAGATGAGAGAACTAAAAACCAGAATGTATGGGTGAAGAAACCAGTAAGGTATGGCATACACAAGAGAAGACTCACTGATGACAAATATCACATGGAAGAGGAATTTAAATCATTTTGGATGACTTCCAGTAGGCAATGGAGAAGTGGTAGAAATTTCAGGGAGTCAGGTCACTATATAGGAAAACTGACTAACAGGTGAAATTCTGCTTCTGAACTTAAGTCCTATATTCTCCTACTCTCATTAAGAACCCGAATCACAATTAGGAAACTTGGAGCGTATGAGAACTACATCTTGTCATAGATGTAATAGTGGTGTTTTTAGGATCTTTAATTGGTTGACCTAAATAATCTTTCAAGACACTCCTATTCCTTATTTTGTGATAAAATAGAGCAATTTATTTAGTTGACTTATTATGAAATAGTTTGAAATCAAGATGAGGAAGATAGAGAGAAAGCTGCTGTGCATGGATAGGAAATAAGCTATTTAGTAGACACCAAATTCTTAAGTGTAATTTCATTAGCTAAAGTAATAGCTAACTGATGTATCTATGATTTAGGAGGATTTTGTTCTGATGCTATTAGACTCTTAAAGTAAGTTTTATATCAAATAGAAAAAAAGCTTGTAAAAAGAAAAAGACCAGGTTTTGGGGGCAAAAAGCCAAAAAAGGCCAGTTTCATATAAAACGTAAGCAAGTGTCCAAAAAAAAGTGCACTGCAATGAAAATGTAACTGTAAACAAAAGGGCACCTTAGAGTGAAGGGCACCTTAGAGCAGCATCACTAAACCCCTTATCATCTGACACTGAGACAAAATACTGAGAGAAAGGCTTAAAACCAACAACAACATATCTAATCCAAAAAAAACCTTTTTGAAGCTACTAACTCAAAGAATATTCTTTATTGGACTCACTCAATGCTTTGAATTTAATCAACTAGAATTATTTTTAAGTACTGTTTTCTAAAAACTTGTGAAATGATAAGTTCGGATTTTGATGAGGAATCTGCATTTTATCAGAAGGATGGAATAAGGTGTCCTTGACCGAGATATTCTTCACAGAAATAGGCTATTTTTGTATTCTATGCTTAGCATATTTAAAGACACACATTCCAGGTGAGCAGCTTGCTCCAAGGTGCACTCAATTTTTATTTGTGGATAAGGCTCCATTGTTTCAGCACCCACGTTTTGACAAATCCTATTTCAATATTCCCCGTAGGAAGCAATCCTGAAAAATTTTTGGAGAGCGTATTGCAGGTAACGTGTGCACCGATTCTCTTTTATGCCAGGTAAACTGACAGTTGTCATGTAGAGGACATGTGTGACACAAATGACGTGGGAGAAGATTGAAAAGTAGGTGAAAGAATATAAAATTGAATTCTACTGTTGAAAAATAAAACTTCCATGCTTAACTTCAGTATAAAATGAAATAATAAAGGGATACAAAAACAGTTGGGGAATTCAAAGAATAGGATGCTCCATCTATGATTTTAAAGTCCGTCAAAATTAACCATAAAAATGAAGGTTACACTAGTCTAGTCACTTAGTACTTTTGATGTTAACTATCCTAGGCTAGCTTCTAATAAAAGAAATTGTGATGATAGATTGACTAGAAAATGGCTAATGTGGAAAGAAGAGGTGAAGGTCATGGAAGTCTCAGAATTTTTAAGCTCCAAATTGCTAATAACTAGACAAACTGGCTTCCTTCCTGAATAGTGCCCAGATGGCAGAGACAACACTGATATGTAGTCTTAGCTGCTTTTTGACAGAGGACTGTCACCAGCTGGTGACCCCATCAGTCTGAAGGCAGGAAAATTACTAAATGATGCAAGAGAGTGCCTGCAGACCAGTACACCCTGGGTCCCTGAGAAGCAAGAGGGCAGAGCCTCAGGAAAAATGGATTTTCAGTTGGTGACTATCCAGAGGAGGCTACTATATTTATCTGCAGATAGAAGAAAATAAAAGCAAATTAGTTTCCACAAATATTATGTCTAATAAGAGAAGAAACAAATTCTCCTTGAGAAGAAGTAAGGTATCATATATAAAAGGAAGGCAAATGGCATGATCTCCTGGTTATAAACTAGACAACAAAGTTAGCTCTGACCCTGTTCTAGGAACACAGTCTAGTCTGCAATCAACCACAATAGTGTGGAGACATCACCTCTGCCATATAACGCCAGTCAGAAGGCAGAAAGGAAAAAAGGAGTCCAAACCAACACAAGGGTGAAATTTTAACACGTGCCCTTCCTCAATAAAATTGGCAAACATAAGTCCAATTAATTTTCCAAAAACATAATTCTAGTTGTCAGAAAGCAACCCACTAGTAGCAATTATTTTTAGCAAAGTGATGCAACTGGAAAACAGATTGAAAAGGGCAGGGGGGGTCTTTTCTCCAGTCCTCTCCACCCCCAAAATAAAATATTTTAATAAAATATGGAAAATAAAACCACATATAAAAATGATGAGTATTACTTCTTCTTAAAGGAGGAATTTACTCTTCTAATATCTATAATCAAGGGAGAATTATTAAATAGTTAACTAAATCATCTTCAATCTAGATTTTGCCATTCTCTTTTAGAGAGATCTCTCTGATGCTGATAATGAACAGATTTTTAACTTGTGCTTTCAAGATGTTCCATCTAAGCACCACAAGAAATTATATTAAACAATAAAATGGAGGAAATTAACATTAAACATTAAGGGATTCACATTGGAACTTAAATTTGTGATATGAGATTTTGTTGAAAAAGAGATATGCAGTTCACTAGTAAAACTCAGGATTCAGAAACATGAGTCATGATATTGCAGTAGAAAGTTTTTTTCCAAAAGCAAACTCTGAAATTGTGTTTACTTCTACATTATTTTTGTTTGTCCTGAAAACTCTGCTCCTTTTATAAATTAAAGCATCAATTTTCATTAGCAATAACCATATAACCACTTCAGTAAGAATGCTTCTTAATTTCTATAATCGGACTTAACACCAGTTACTGAATATTGTGCAACTGTTAAAAGAACATGAAGTTGTGCTCATGACCTTCCATCATAGTTTGATATGAAGAAATATAAATGCAGCAATACTCTCAAAATGCTCTTCCATACACCAGAATATACATGTGAATTGTCCCAGACATTCATTTATAACCAAAGTCTCAGTTTCTTCATAAACCTAAAAAGGGAGTTAAGAGTAGATGGCTTAAAAGTCTCATTTTATCCAAAAATCTATATAAGCAGATGAGAGTAAAGAAAGTCTTTATACAAGGAATTCGTTGAGAATTCACGTCTGTAAGACTCTGTAAAACTCAAGCTTTTCAATCTCAGGTAAATCTATTTCATTTTTAAAAGCTGTTTTAAACCTGATATCTACTACTGTTTTAGGAGTACTTCATAATTGGCCTAAATTTAAATTCTAATGAGCAAAGACATTGTGTTAGAAGAAAAAGACTAGAAACCCAAACTGAAATCCAAGAGGTCATTGGTGCTATTTCTCAGAAAATAAGATAATTCTTGGGGGGTGGAAGGGCTTCTGGACAATTGTGACACATATAGTAGAAAAAAAATAAAGAGGTGATTTAAATGATTTACTCTTCCTTTATATCTAAAGCACCCCAGAATTTAAAATATAAGTTTCTGATATACTGAGGGAGAGGACTGCATTAATCCAACATTCACAGCTAAGTTTTGGACGTGTAGGAAGGGGCACACCAGGACAAAGAAGCACCTTCAGCTGTTTAAAATAAGATAAAGCTTTCAAGTCCAATTTAAGACTTGAAATACTAATCACATTGGATTAGCCTACTAAGGTTGGAAAATTATAGCCAGTCTCTTAAGGGTCGTATTACACCTACAAGGGCAAGCAAACAGGTAAATCCAAAAACTACAGTTGGACACTATTCATGGAGAGTTTGGCATCCTTTTGGCTCCTACTCTCCCAAGAAACACCCTAGGACACAGGTGCTATAATTATAATTATAAGAGAATGAGGATAAAATGCAATGCCTGGGTGGGCACGTACTGAGAAAGGTAAAGTCGGTTGCCACACTGCTAGAAATAGATAAGAACCATGTTGTGATCCCAAGCGCACATCATGCAATGCCCTGGCTTCCTCAGTACCTGTCTTTCCCAAATGCAAGGCCTACCTTCTGTGTGGACTGCAGAGACATAGGTCCAATTGTAACGCTTGACTATGTCAAGCATCGCCCTTGCCTGCAAAGTGTCAGAAGGCACAACCCTCAGGAAGTATTTGTACAAAGTTTTGTCACTCAGGTCGATGCTCGTGGCAGAATATGCGATCTGGGGGATGTCGAAGAGCTGGAGCAGGTTCTGCACTTGAATGGCTACGGAGCTGGAGCCCGGGCCGATCACGCCCGCAATGGGCTTCTTAGTCCTGCCTGGGGGGAGGGACTGGCCGTCAGGCAAGCACCGGTTGACCCCATCCCTCTCGTCTCGAATGGAAATCAGAGAGTCCCTGATGAACTCAATACTCTGCTCCAGAGCCACGGAGGAGTGCCAGCAGGAGTCCCGGATCTCACTGCCCAGGGTGATGTTGGGCAGGAGCACCGGGTCCGCGTTAATCTTATCCAACGTGTGGAACATGGCTTCCACCCTCTGGATGCCATACTGCTCCCTGATCTCCCCACACTTCCTCTCGGGCACCTTCTCGGCCGGAGGCTGGTGGTGGACTGAGAAGAGGGCCCCAATGATGACATCTCCGTCCATTCTGGCCACCGAGCGCTGAGACGAGGCTCCTGCCAGCAACACTTTTCTGCTGGTGCCTCTGGGGAAAAGGGACGTCTCCAAAAAGATCGCTGGGAAGAAAACCAAGAGGAGCCGGACCATTGTGCTGAGGACGCGGTCCACGGCGGCCAGCCTCGTTCCCACGCTGGCCGCGCCAGCCGGCTCTGGGCGCGTGCTGCGGAAACGCCCGAAGCCTGCCTCTCCCGGCTGGGTCCCGCTCGCCAACGCCGCGCGTTCAACGCCTTCGCCTCCTGCGCTCCCGCCTCCTTCCCCTCCGCCTCCTCCTCCTGGTCCTCCACGACCACCTCCACGCCCTGGAGGCGTTTCTAGGGGAATTTGAGTCCCCTTCTTCACCGGTGCGTCAAGGTAAACTGATGAAAGGTACAATGGGAGTCGTGGTGGCAGCGGTGAGCTGGACGCTGCCGACAAAAGAGGAAGAAAATCAAAGCTCCGTTATCACAGGACCTGTGTCAAAACTCTGGGGTTAGTGATGTTAACAGTTGCCGGTCCATTTCATTTCGGCACATCACGATATTGGCTGAAGGAACAGCTTGAGAAGCAGCCCTGGTCAAGGCAGAAGGGGGTGCATCTTGGCCCCAGTGCCTTCCTCGGTCCCGGGAGGCGCAGAGCCCCGCCGACACTCCCGTCTCCTCCCCTCCTCCAGCTCCAAGTCTCATCCCAGTTCCCAAATACCCATTACGCTTACCGACTTGACGGGGAGGGGGAAAGAGGGAAGGAGGAGTTAGGTCTTGCAACCCAAGAGAACTTTCCGGATTGGAAAAGATCAACTTTTTCCCAGAAGAAATTTGGAAACTCGTCATGAAGGTAGAAGCGCTAGTTCAAAATGAAGGCGAACAAGGAGCGCACCTTTTAACTTTGAGGGGTTGAGGAGACCCTAATATACAACACAAGTAGTAAATATAAATTTGCCAGCTTGAGGAAATCCATATTAGTTACTAAGGCAACGCCTGGTAAAGTCGCCGCATGTCGGATTTTGGTTCGTCCCCCTCCCCACCCCAAGAAGCCAGCTTACTGTAGATGTTCAGGGAGAAAGGGTGCAGATAAGGTAACTTGTTCCCGCGATGGAGGATGGAGGGAGTGGGTGGAGGGGCTCCTGCACTCGCCGAAATCGAGCCCTTTGGCTTTGCATAGTTGCTAGAAAGGGAACGGAGGGGAGCTTCCGGGTTGCTCTCGCGGCGGCAGCTCAGCCCAGCCGCCTTCAGAACCCTGGACAGCGCTCGGTCCAGCTGCAGACACATTTCCCCGCAGGGCCTGGAGCAGACGCGTTGACCAGCGAGTAGCAATTCTTTGACCCCACTCCCCCACCCCCAACTTCGTTCTTTCAACCCCCTTTCCTGCATTCTTTATCCCCCACACCACACACACACACACACACGCACACACACACCTCCCCTCACCTTCCCACCAGCCCTCCATCCTCATTCTCTTCGCCTTGCAACCAGTGCTCCTGCAAGTACATTCAAACCTGACCGCTTTGGGGGCAGAGGCGCCAAATCTCAGCCGCCTGCGGGGCTGAAGTTGGCTCCCTCTCTCATCCCTCCCCGGCTTCGTTTCTCAAGGTGAGAGTCGGAGGAGAAAGGAGCTAAGGGAGCAGGCACGGAGCAAGAGCAGAGGAGGTAAGGCAAGCAAAAGGAGGAAGACAACCCAGGCATCCATGGGTCCCGACGCTTCCCGGGGATGCACGACTAAAAGAAATAAATAAACGGGGATGCCCCTGGGACTAGAAAGAAAATCCCATAGATTGAGACTGTGTCTGCCACTATGGGTGGGTTTCACCGCCGGAAAGTGTCTGCTCACCTGGGTCTGCCTGGAGAATTTGGACTTGAGACGTACCTGTGTCCGGGTAGACAGCGCTGTGGTCTCCGGGCCAGAGCACCGCGGCCACGCTGGGTTCGCAGACGCCTCAGCTCTAATCCAGACGGTGCAAGGATGCGATCTGGGCTGTACACTGGTGCCCTCTTTCTTCAGCACTGTTTTACCGCAAGGAAAAAAGAGGCGGGGGGGAGGGAAAAAAATTTAAAAACAGGTCACCCAAGGCTTGTCTATTATCTCATGCATAAAAACCAGTCGTTTAATGGAGGGGGGAGGGAAGAAAAACTAGGGAGAAGTGAGGAATATTCATTCCTTTACTATCGGAGGCTGCCAGATATATGAATAGTCAGATTTGGTGAAAGGCGTGAGGAATGGCTTAGGCTGCTTTAGGTGGGTATTCTTTGTGTATATTCCGTGGACTCAAGCACATTTACTCTTTCTGGAAGTAAAACACCTACTGAGGGAAATACATGTGTATACATCCAGAGAGGCTCTATTAGTAGGTTGCAAGAGAAAGAGGAAGAGGCTGCCTGGGGTGGCAGTAGGGGAAGGCCAGGGATGCACATCATGAATCAATGTAAGCCAAACGAAGAGAGGCAAATCTTGGCTGCATTTTCCAGGTCAAGATGTAACTAAATTGAGAATGAGAGTCAGGTCACATGAAAACACTGGAGTGAAAAACACTTATCCAAATTCCTCCCAGGCTGCCATCACCCTCCCGACAGGTCCACAGTGTTGCTTCTCACTGTGTGAAAAGTGGAAGTTAAATCACACTCCTCTGGGAACATGTTGGCTGAGCAGAATGTGTCCCAGCTTCTTCAGAGGGGAAAGACAAGTGACAGTGTGCCTTTCCACTCTTGCTCAAAGCTTTCTATTTGTGTCATGTGCAGAGAAGAAAGATCAGCTTATGTGGGTCCCTTTATAATCACCTTGCTCGTTATTCTATGGAATGTTGCCATGTCCAGCTGGAGGGGACAAACCCCATGAGGCAATTTTAAATACTCTTTAGTGTGTTCCATGTAACTTAGGAAAGGAAGTGATGCTTTCAGTCAAGGACAGAAGCTCTTTCTCATTCTAGTTCTGATCTTTTTCCACAAGTATCAAATTTTTCTGTATTTTTCTTAGACAACGTAAAGAAGACAGGATTTTTTTTTTTTCACAAATAATGCACTGAACCAGGTACACACTCTTTAGACCTAAAAGATCTCAGTTCTGGAAGTAATCAGATGTTTACTCAAGGAAAACAGGAAGAGGTAAGTTTCTGTCTTCAAGCATAGGTAAAATGATTCTCTGCCTGCACCCCTAAGAGAATGTCTGCTCTAAGGAGAGCAGTCCAAAGGCATTCACAGTGTCCCATAGTATCTCACTTCCTCTAACAGCAATTTAAGTTCCATTTGAGATAATGCTATTCCGGTAAAATAAGTCCTAAACATGGTTTCCCTGGAATATTTCATAGATATAGTGAATATACAAAGATTTCTGTGCATATACAAACCATTAAATATGATTTGCAGGATTATAGAAAGTAACGTCTCTGAAGTCCACATTTAGTTTCAATATGCATTCCTCAAAGTTGAGTATTTTTAATATATTGCATTGATGTAGTTTAGAAAAGATTCTGCTACAGAAGGAATAATTAATATCCAGATTTCTTTGTTCTCAATACAGTCCAACTAAAAACTACCCATTCTGGCTGGTTGAAACAAATCATTTTAAAGAGGAAGAACTTGAAGATCAAAACATAGAAGATTTATGTATATGCATATCATATATTAGAGGTGTTAAGGAAAAATTTAATTTCAAATGTATTGATTTGAAATTATCAATTAAATTTACTGGTAATTATTTAAGACTAAACTTTAAAAGGGCAAAAATAAGGTAAGAAGAAGGCATTGAGAAAAAAGAAGACAAGGACATCCAAATATGCTTTCCCTTTCTGGAAATTAAGACTTTACCAAGGCAGGCAGGAATTAATATATGTGCAGAAAACTAAAGGAAGGTTCTATTAGTAGGACTGAAGAAAATTACTACAAGTATGAGTTACATAAAAATTAACAAATATAGATGAACATACTAATCTATAAGAGTTTAAAGAATGTTAAAGGTACATAAATTCAGAAATGCTTGTCAGTATGAATATTTATTCAGTACTGGTAAGGTAGTATATTACATTCAGTATAAAATGTGTAGCAGGCTAGAAAGTGTTGAGTATTTGATTGGGGAAATCTATTTAATGCAAAATGCAGTGGAGATCAAGCAAAAGAATATCCAACATATTATCTCAAGACAGTGATTTAATGTGCTGCTGTAACAATAAGGTCAACAAAATGCTCATCATCCGTATTTGGCAATAAAACAAATATTACCAACAAACAAAATTGTGAACATTCTCCTTTGGAATGTGCACACAATTTTCATTGTTCTCCAATCATAAAAGACATGATAGAGGAACTGGTCTAGATTATAAATGAGCAAAAGGATTGAAAGGTTTCCACATAAAATCATTTGAAAATTCGTATTCTTCAAATGAGAAAGGTAAGAAGTGAGTGAGAATAAGATTTTACAAAAAGAAAGAAATGGATAAGGTAAGCACACCTTCCAAATCATAGTGTACTCTAGTGCGTGTTTTGAAAAATAAAGTTTACACAGTCATTGAAATATGAAAGTGAAATATACACAAGAGGTAATAAACTCATTACTGAAGATGTAGTATTGACTGAAAATACAAATGAGATCAAAGAAGGTCTTTGTAGAAAATTGATTTGTGGAAAATTGATATGTAATGTATTGCTAAGGGAGTATAATGATGTTCAAGGTAGATCAGTGTTGTGAGAGTGAATACCATGCTCCTCCATAAAATACCATGCTCCCTGGACAATTGATTTAATCTAGTATGACATTTCTTACATTCTTATATTTAATTCATGGGTTCAGCCTGATAATTCAAGCCCCAGTGAGAATTTTCAGTTTATTTATCCAATTTGGCTATCTGCATTGCTTAAATCAAGAAGGAGATTGACGCATCTTCGCTGGACTTTATGCTCTGAAGCAAAGGCAATTAAAATTGTAAAATAAAACCTCTTCCTTTCAGAAACTCAAAACATTTTCATAAAACATAGTTGATTAACAAAGTAAACAAAATATTTTAAAAGAACTAAAATAAGCCAAATTTAATATATATTCAAGTGTTTCATTGGCTGATTAATTAGGCTATAACCATATATGAAGAGATAGGACCAAAAGCATCAGCTTACATGAGCAATTAGAACTCATCGATAACTATGGGGGCTCATGTAGTTGGACTGGAAAATATACATTTGGCTACATACTGTTCTGCCACAACTGTCCAAACATTTATTTTTAAAGTATTAAAATACAATTGAGGAGAATAAGCCAAACACAATTATTCTGGAAGCACAATGAGGACCACGATTATTATCTGTTTTATTCCCTGCTGTATTACCAGTGTCTAAAACAATGTCTATTTCATGATAGGTGCTAAAATATTTGTTGAAAAAATGAATGGATACGTTGTTCTTGAACACTAAAAGTAGCATCTTATTTTAATGCCTTTCTTTAAGAAGATCAAAGCCAGCTGGTTTACACATGTTTCTAATTTCTTCTTCATCTAATGTAGAGGGAGTAATTATTTCGCAACTATTTCGCGAGTCCAAGTAACTAGCCTAATTAGTATTAAACCATTTAGAAACATGTTTATACTACAAACTTTATTAGATTTGAAATACTGAAATTTGTTCCAGATGTGAAGAAATTATTTTCATTACTCTACTGCGTGTGTCAACCAAAAACATATGAAACTTAGATATCTTTTAAAGGTCAAAAGAAGATAATACATAAATGGAAGCTAATCTTTATTCAACGTTGTGGCTGTATGATTCGAAAACAACCATTTGAAAAGGTTCTCAGAAACATCCTAGAGATACGTAAAATAGGCATATTACCCTAGTCCGATAGATGGGAAAATTGAGGCACCAAGAAACCTTTTCCTTGTCTGAGTTTAGTCAGCAAATTAGGGGCAGTGCCACATCACACTATCTTTATTCCAAATTCATGAGTTCATAAAGAATAACCATACAAAATGAACTAAGTGTTAATTTCATTTTTCCCTCAGCTTTGCACTGATGCTCTCTTCTTAGAAAATGCTTAAGTAATAAAGAAAATGAATTTTAATTCCTTTCCTTTGGGCCTTTCATCTGTTGAGGGCATAAGCATTACAGGTGATTGTTCTACTTGCTTAAAATAGTCATCTTTTATAACAGTTCTAATAACAGCAGTAACCTAGCTGCACAGTCTCACAGTCAACTTTTGAACAATTAAGCAAGAAAAGTATCTAAATTTTCAGATCCAATAAAAGCCTTCATTAGAAAAGGCTTTATCGTACTACGGTTTCACCTGCACGATACATTAAATGATTATTTCTGTTTAATCAGCAATATATTGTATTCCTGCTTAACTGTAACAGAAAATCTACAACACAGTTGTTATCCATCCAGCACACCACCAAAACATTGATCTACCTAAAACGCAGCCCTTATCCTTTCAATTTCATAGCTCAAAACCTTCAATATACCCCAGTTGCCAAAAGAATAATGTCTAAATTCCTTAAACTGGCACCCAAAGACCATCGACAGGGGGAGGGGTTCTCGGAAGAAAAACATGGTAACTATTCATATCCCATCCTCCCTTTCCCTTCCCTAAGGTGGAGAAAGTCCAAGGTAAGGAGCAGACCAGAGAAAGAGAATTCTAAATATACCCCAGGGATTTTTAAAAGAGTGAAGGCATATTTTTGAAAGTTTCTAGGTAATTCTGATATGACCTTTATTGAAAGGCATTGATAAAATTTCATCCCATTCTCCTACTCAAACTTTTTCTAACAAAACAAGCCTTGCATGTTGCCACACCTCAGCTCATACCTCTTACTCCACAAAAAAATATTCA